GTCATTGTTGTTTGGCAGGCCCAGGCTGGGGATTCAAACCCACCACCTTAGGTGTACGTGGCTGGCGCCTTAGCCGGTTGAGCTATAGACGCCGAGCCTGTTAAGCTCTTTAATAGTCTTCAGTGAGGTTTTATAGCTTGCTTCACCTAGCTTTGGGAAAATTCTTATTTATTCCTAAAATGCTGAGCTGTCTTGTTTTTATGTCACACAACAGTCTGCAGGTTTCTTATGGACAGAACATCCTCTAAATCTCAATTCAGATGTGTTTGGATGTGACAAAAAAGCTGGTTTCCATAACACAAAGTCCAAGAATACCCAGTCCAGGATAGGCTAAGCATATCTTATTGCCAACAGAGAGCCTCTCAAAGAAAGACCTTTTTTCAGATGATCTATCAATTGGTCAGTGACAGGGAAAAATCTCCCTCCATCTCACTTGCCAGTCTGGCTGCTCTGCAACAAAATGTCCCTTCTTTTTACATCTCTTTAAGTAATCTAGTGGGATTTAGGGGCAGAGACTCAGTCTCCCTCTTGGAACTTAAGCTGAGCCTGTTTCTATTTTTGTTAATTTGGTTTTTCTCCAGTATCCTTCTTCATACTGGCAGCCCAGTACCTCTGGTCCTCTTTAGGGTTGATGAGATCTGCCCTTGTCCTTTTCCAGAGGCCCTTTCATAAGCCAAATCCTCAGGTTAATGACATTCCAGGCATCTGAACAGTGATGCTGTGACTTTTCAGGACACATAGGAAGGCTTCTCAGATGCCCATTAAAGATGCTTATGCTGTGCAGTTTTCACTCCCTGCTTCTGGAGATAAGACAAGCTGTTTACACCAAATCAGTGGCAGAAAAAGTTCCTACTAGCCTGTCTCCTATACACTTCTAAACTGTAACTCCAGCTTCTTAAAGGCCCATTTAATCTGCCTTTGTTTAAACTTTGTTACCTTAGAGTCACAAGTGAAAGAAAATGCAATCAGCTTTTAAGATGAAAACATGCCAGATTTGAATAACCACCTGCATGGTTGAAGTTTTCCAAACTCTCTAGGCCCCTTCAGAGTAATGTCCAGGGCCCCTAAAACCCAGAAGTGTGCACAGCTAGGGTATGTGCTAACGCTACATAGCTGGTCGCAAGGAGAAGTGACATTTCAAGTACAACAAGCACAGGTTGCCAACTATCTGCCTTGGTAAACCACATCTGTAGCTTCGCACACTGTTTTTTGAATATTATCAGACCCTCTTCAAAAACAAAGCACCGGGGCGGCGCCTGTGCCTCAGTGAGTAGGGCACCGGCCTCATATACTGAGGGTAGCTGGTTCGAACCTGGCCCTGGCCAAACTGCAACAAAAAATAGCCGGACGTTGTGGCGGGTGCCTGTAGTCCCAGCTATTAGGAAGACTGAGGCAAGAGAATCACCTAAGCCCAAGAGCTGGAGGTTGCTGTGCGTTGTGATGCCAACTCACTCTACTGAGGGCAACAAAGTGAGACTCTGTCTCTTAAAAAAAAAAAAAAAGCACCCAACAGCACAGCTCTGGCCTGTAAAGAAAATCTACTTACCCAGTGTTTTCCATTCTATCCCTTCTAAATGCATAGCACAGCATGTAGACTGAGTGATAAAGTTTTGTGAATTTTTAAATAATGTTCTATGTTTAAAGGGAAATCTATTTATATATTATACAATTTTTAAATAAAAATTTTTCTAGGAGCAGCGCCTGTGGGTCAGTGGATAGGGTGCTGGCCCCATATACTGAGGGTGGTGGGTTCGAACTCGGCCCTGGCCAGCTAAAACAGCAATGACAACTACAACATTGTCAAGCTGGTCATTGTGGCGGGTGCCTATAGCCCC